ACCCCCAGCAGAAACAACTCCAAAAGGATTTTTAAAGTTTGTGATCCTGGGTGGAAGGAGACGAGGGTGTTCCTTGGAATGGGGAATGTGGCTGCATTATGGCCTTTTGTTTTTAATACCCAAGATTGGAGTTGGCTTGCCACCTTTCCGCACGTGAAGCAAGGAAAAGGTTAGGTCAGACCTGTGAAAGGAGAGACTGCCAGGATTGTGGCAGAGATTGATTTGGGGGTCTCAAGTCATAAACCCTCAAGTTAATGCTGTGGAAAAACAAGCCCAACAAGTCAGTCCCTTTGGGTTCGGGCTGACGGTACAGACTTAGCTCTGAGTCCTGACCTCGGAGGGAGGCACTTCTGGGGAGGGGCCCGTGATTGGCTGCCACCAGGTAACTAGAGTGCTCTGTCGCCTTGGCCTACTTTCATTGCCTCTGCAAAATTCAGTTTCCTCGGTGAGGGAGGGAGTGCTGCAGGACTGAGATCCAGCCAGGCGATGTAAACGCAGTCACGACAGAGGTGAGTGTGCACTGCTGGAGAATTTATGACCACCTCTGTTCTCCTCAGAAAGAACAAGAAGGGGCAGTGCAATTCCCACTATAGTTTGAAGGAATTCTGTGGCCTCTCCTCAGTTCTCTGTAGCTTGGCGGGGACTAGGTACTTCATGGGGTATTATGAGTACCTCCTTTTGATCCTAAAATAGTCTGTGGTCCAGATAAGAATGGGGGATGCAATGGGGTTTTTTGAAGTACTTTTCACTAGGCCAGTCAGCAGAAGGTAGGGGTGGCAAAGAGAATATATGCATATGTATATGACGTAGATTTTAATCTTAATAGTCCTATTTAAAAGGTTTCTCTTCTAGCATGCAGAAACTGTGGTTATTTTCATAGTTTTTTGTGTTTTTTTTTGTCTTTGTTTTTTGCTTTTTTTTTATGGTTTCCATTTGGAGCTTTTAAAAGAAGGTTATCATTTAGATACAGTAAAATTTTCCCTTTTTGTGTACTATTCTGTGAGTTTTTGACAAATAACAGTTGTATAATTGACACTATAGTTAAGATACAGAATTGTTTCATCACACAAAAAATTTCTCTGTGTCCCTTTGTAGACATTCCTGCACCCCTCTCTAATACTCTGATGTCTGTCCCAATAATTTTGCCTTTTCCGGAATGTCCTATAAATGGAATTATATAGTATAAACCCTTTTGAGTCTGGCCCTTTTTCACTTAGTAGAATTCATTAGAAATTCATCCATGCTGTTGCATATATCAGTAATTTGTTCCTTTTCGTTGCTGAGTAGTATTCCATTGTTTGGATATACCACAGTTTATCCATTCTCTAATTGAGAGACATTTACTTCATTTACAGTTTAGGAAAATTACAAATAAAGCTGTTATAAACATTTGCGTACAGGTTGTTGTATTAACATAGGTTTCATTTCTCTTGGGTAAACACTAGGAATGGGATTGCTGAGTCCTAGGTAAATATATGTTTAACTTTATAAGAAACTGCCAAACCATTTTCCAGAGTGGTTGTACTATTTTGTATTTCCATCAGCAGTGTATGAGAGTTATAGTTGTTATGTATTCTCCCAGCACTTAATGCTATCAGGCTGTTATAATTTTTAGCCATTTTATAAGTGTGTAGTAGTATTTCACTGTAGATTTAATTTATATTTCCCTAAAGACTAATAATAGTGTTGAGCATCTATTAATGTGATTATTTGCCATTCTCATATCTAATGAAGTGTCTCTTCAGATCTTTTACTCGTTTAAAAAAATTGTTTTGTTTTTTTTTATTATTGAGTTGTGAGAGTTCTTTATATGTTTTGGACACAAGTTTTGTTTTGTTTTTTAATTAGATATATGATTTTCTCCTAGTCTGTAATTTGTCTTTTTATTTCCTTAACCATGTCTTTTGAAGAGGAGAAGTTCCTAATTTTGATGTTCAATTTATCCCTTTTTTTAAAATAAGGGATAAATAAGGTCACAAATATTTTTTTCCTACTTTTTTTCTAGAAATTTTTAGCTTTAGGTATTATATTTAGATCTATGGTCCATTTTTGAGTTAATTTTTTTACATGGTGTGAGGTTCATTTTTTTGCATATAGATATTCAGTTGTTTCAGCAGATTTGTTTAAAAGATTATCCTTTCTCCATGGAATTGCCTTTGCCACTTTGTTATTCTTCCTCAGAATTATTTTAGATATTCTAGTTCCTTTATTTTTCCATACAGAACTTTAGAATCAGTTTGTTGATTTCTACAAAAAGTCCTACTGGGATTTTTATTAAGATTGTGTTGAATCTATATAGCAATTTGAGAAGAAATGATATCATAACTGTATTAAATGTTCCAGTCACATGGTAGATTTTTAATTAAAACATTTAGAAAGAATGGAGTAGAGCACAGATGCCTTCTATAGGTGTTTAATAAAAAAAAAAAATACTGAAATTAACCTTTAAAGAACAAGCATTTAATTAATTTAATGCTCTATTTGAAAGTAGTTCTGAGAGAAGGAAGAATCTTTAGCATTATGGAGGAGGGAGAGTCCAGTTATTTCTCTTTCAAATGCTTGATCTGAAACCACTACAAGATAGCAGGCTCAATCTCTGGAAGAAAGAAAGGAAAGTTAGTTGAACTTCATAAATGGGGCCAGTCTCCTTGGCTGCCAAGTGCCCTTGATAGGAATTTTCTATCTCCAGATTAAGAGACCTCCAGATTTAGAAGGGAACTGCCAAGAAGGACTTCAGACCTCATGTCTAGTCCTCCTTTGCTTTGGCTTCTTCCAGCTCTGCAGTATTGGGCTTAAATGTTGAGAGAGTGTGGTGCAGGAAGCAGATTTAATTGAGCCACCGCGTGTGGGGTGTGCCTGCCTCCAGGCTAGCTGCTTGGATCACTAAAAGAGCTTTTAGACAAAGAAGTTGAGACATTAAATATGAAAATGGGCTCTGCCAGTTTCTCAGTAGTCTGGAAGGAATGCCTGCTAGGGTTGGTATAAGTGAGGCAAATCATTTCCCACTAATGTCATTATCTTAGGCAGCTTTTATGAATTAATTTATCAGTCTTCAAAAAGCCATGTTAATGAGACTACCAGAGTTTTCACCCCTCCTTACCGTAATTCAAGATACTACAGTGTGAGGGGTGGGGTGGGAGATTTTTAAAATCACATTTTATTAAAATTACATTTGATTAGCTCACTGGGGGGAAAAAAATCAAACAAAACAAAAGTGAATACAAATAAAACGCTCAGGTTCTTCTCACCTCTCTGCTACTTATAGTTGCTAGAAGTAACACAGTTTGAAAGTGTGGTGTATGCTTCAGGCCATTTGCTATCTTTATACAAAAGTAAATGCATGAGGTTGTTTTGTTTGTTTTTAACCTAAAACTGGATCATATTTTACAAACTGTTTTGCAAACTTGTTTTTCTTTTACCTTGTCTATGGATTACGGGTACAATTTTGTCTTAGTTCTTAAAAATCTACCTTACTCTTTTTTAATGATTGTTAAAATATCCTATGATTCATTTTTCCATTCTCCAGTTGATGGATGTTTAAGTTGCCTCCAGTATTTCTCTGTAAAAAAATTATGCTGCTGTGGACATTCTGTACACATATTTTTACATGCTTATAGAGTATTTCTTAAAAGACATTGGTAGAAAGTAGAATTAGTCAGATGTAGGTGCATGTCTAGATCTAATTGGTGAAGCTAAATTATTTTCTCTTAATGGTGGATGAGCACACTCTTTTCTGCATACCTTTAGCAGCACAGAATATTATTACTCTTTAATGTGTTTTACCATGATAAGCAAAAGTATCTTTTGAAATTGGCATTTGCATGATCTAGTAAAATTGAGCATCTTATATTGTTGATTAGTGTTATATATTTAGTCTATCAGTTGCTCCCCCTTTTTTTTCTATTTTTCTACTTAGAAATCATTGGTAGTAGAAATACTTCATATAAATACTGATAATATTTGGCAAAAGTAATACTCAAGGGAAGGTGATAGTCTTAAATTCAAAAACAAGAAAGACTAAAATGTAAACAAAAGGAAGTAGCAGAGAAGAATTAATAAAGATAAAAGCAGAGAGTATACTTCACATACTTTGTTATGCATGTTACACCTCAGTTAAATAAGGAAAATATAAAAGCAGAAATAATGAAGTAAAAAAAATCCAAAAAAGCCATAGACTTGATCATTACAATAAAATCTTGTTTGTTGTTTAAAAGATCTCTAACAATTCTGGTCAAGAAAAGAGGAAAAAAAACCACACGACATGTTGTAATAATATAAATGAGATATATAACTAAAAATTCAGACATTTAAAAAATTAATAAAAAAAATTTATAGAAATTAATTTTATGTAGTTAGTTAATAGTTGCTACTATCCCTCTGGAATGAATTGTCTGGGAGAGTAATTGGTCCACCGTGATGACTGATTGAAGTGAGGTTTCTATTGATATTAGTTCCTGGTGACCGAGAATGATAAGCATCTAACACTATGCAGGACAGTCCTTCACAGTGAAGAATTTTCCTACTCAGAAATGCCATTCGTGTCTGTAGATATGACAAAAACTGACAGAAGTAGAAAGCTTCATGAAGACCCATGAAGTAGAAAACCCATTTGCCTCAAAAAAGGCACTAGGCCCAGTTGGTTTTATGAGTTTTATCCAACTAGGTATTCTTCTGTCATTTAATTTGCTTCAAATTTAGAAAAAGTTTTCTGAAATCATTATACAGGGCTAGTGTACCTGAGAACAATGTTTAATGTAGTCTAGTCATTTACTTTAGTGTGTAACTCTTTGCCCACTGAACATACTGCTGCTTAGAGAAACAGTAGACAACTTTCCAGGTTTGAAAGCAAACAGCAGGGTAGCCAAGAGTTCTAAAAGTCATTGTTCTCTGTGGTGCTTTTCAGCAGCATCCACTAATAGCTCTTAGGTCCACTTAGCTTAGCACAGTGATGAATGATTATCT